AACAAGAACTTAGCTCATCTTGTTTGAGCACCTATCAGGATACTTGACAAACCCGAGCCCCGTGCTTACTACACAGCTCGTGCATAGATAGAGGGGGCACCAGCACAGCATTCGGTACGAGGGAATAACATCCAGCCACATCGAAAGCCAACGCATTTCCCTGGGAGTCTTTCCATCATCTCCAGAAGATTTTTACATAAGGTCCATAACTCACAACCACTCTTGAATTCAAGTCATTTCTCATATTCTATTAACTTAAAAATATGATGTAATTTAATAAACTAATAACTATATTAGGAGTGGTTACTAACATCACAGATGGGTACTATCTTATAACATAAGTGGTATTCGTAGTGAAGTACTAAATATACATGAATAACTTTTTTTTTTCCCCTTTCTTTTTTTGCATGCACAGATGGAGTCCAGCTTCAAATTCCAGATTTTTCACAGCCCAGGACAGGCAGGTCATATCCAGGGAAATATAAAAAGTCAAGGGCCCATTTGTAAGCGTCAAAGTGTTAGTCACAGAGGTAGACGCCATTTAGGAATTTCCTTAAAGGATTCAGAATACTCATCTCAAATATCAACCTAGCTTTACAAATCTTTTATGTTTTGTGCTAAAAAGTTACACGCTTGCATTAAAAGGATCATAAATAGGACCTTACTTTGTAAGCCAGCAACCTCCTTCACGGAGATCCGCAACCAATGGACATCAAGAAATCTGTATTTGCCCAACACAGCATATTTTTCTTAAAACTTGAATACAGAACCCACACTATTTAGTGCAACGTACCTACATGATACTTCAGAAACAAAAAGTCTTGCAACTCTCTTCTAGCCAGCTCCAGCATCATGCAATGCTGCAGATGACCCAATGAGACCCAACAGGGACGTGCCCCTGTCGGTCTGCAGGCAGTTGGAGGCACGGTGAGAGCCTTGACACACAGGATCACGACACGGCCACGCAAGCGATGCACAAACTAGCTTAGTTTCAGTCGATATTGACATTTGATGAGCTCATACTTAAATTCTCCAGCTGCGGTCAGAGTCATCCCCACGTAAACCTAAATAATCGGATTGCAGCCTGTGGGGATGCCGCCAGCTCAGACCCTGAGCTAGCTGAGATAAGGCTGTGAGGAGTGTGCCCTGATTGCCAAAAGTGAGGGGCAGGCTTGCACAGCCTGAATTTTTATCTATCAGACAAACAAAATAAATACATGTGCAAATAAAGACAACATAAACTCCTTGGAAAGGCGTACGGTCTTGAGGCTTTACACCCTTACATAAAATTCAATCTACTATGTATGGAAATTCCCCTGTGGTGTTAAGCACAATTTAAATGTTCTCAAAGCTAATTTCCAAAACTTACCAGCTCAGATGGTAAATAACTCCAAGTTATTTGATTGCTAAAGTTGTCACAAACTGCAAAAGGGATACAATCCAATTGTTGTTGGAAGTAATGGATACGCTTCTCTGGTCATCTCATGTCAGGTGCTAACAGACATCAGAATCACTAAACACCACTTTCACAAGACATCATATGTATGTGAATATTTATGCTGAAGAAACTTTGAATTCTATCCAAATGTAAATGCCACAGTGTAACTGATCCGTCATGACCATGACAGTCTTTCAGAGTGTTCTCTTCTCTAAAAAGAACTAAGATTATGAAAAATTCAGGTTTTGGTGAGAGTGAACGGTCAATGGATTAGAGAGCTCTTCTCCCACAGGTTACTAATTTCATTCCCTCCTGTCAGCAGACGCTGAAACCAGCTCCCAGCTAACAGCTGCTCGATGCATGAGACAGGTCTGTGATCTACCTCGTGCTCCAAGCAGGTACCAGCACCCTCACACAAAGCTCGTGCTGTAATTGGCAATGCCAGAGCGGGGACAAAGCATTCAGTGGGCACAAAGATGTCCCCGCCAGAAGCAAGCTCCCATAGAAGCACTGTGTAACACTTTGCAATTAGTAAGCATTAACGACAGGCTACCCCATCATTCAGCAAGGTACAGCACGTAACCCAACAGGTTTTAGGTACGGGGATTCTGACATTCAAAGCAGAGCATACAAGTGACAGAAGTGTGGCTGAATTTCTTGTGGTCGTTTGACAACCTCACCTAGTGTAAGCCAGCCTCCGGAAATCCGTATCTATTTTGAGAGTCTAATTAATGCTGATCTCTACTGAAGACATGAAAATACTTACGTTATGTACTGGTGAAGGATGTTCCCCCTAAAAATATTGATTCCTTTTGAAAGGTAGCTTTCTAGAGAAGCACAAGACACATTCTATTGTTACTGGTAAAACAGACAGCTGTAAGCAGCTGCAAAGAACAGTGTTGTGTGTTCCTTTTGTTTGTTGTTTTTTTTTTTTTTTGTTTTGTTTTGTTTTTTTTCCCAGCACATACATTGGCACTAGCTGGAGGAAAAATGGATGCAGTTTCAGCATGATGTTGATTAGTCTTTGGGGATCCCAGTGGACAGAATCGAATCCTGACAGCAAGGACTAAGGACCAAAGCAAGAGGTTTGCACTTGAAAGCCATTCTGAAGCGCACTAGAGGCAGTAAGCACAACATACCACACATATAAAAAATGCATATACGTTTCATTCTGCCTTTTTTTTTTCCTTCCTGTTGAATTCCTGCGGCTTATATAATTTCTGAGGCATCTTCCCCTCATGTCCAACTTTAAAGTTCACTTCTGGCATCACTAAATCAAAGTCAGGTCTGTCCAAAAACACCATAAAATGCTTGCTCCTTTCTTCCTCATGCTCTAGTTACACTGCATCTGATTTCCTTCATACTACCCCCTTTCAAAAAGTTTCTCGTGTCTTTTAACAGAAATGTTAACACTCAACACTCTTCAGAGTTTGGAACATGTAGGAAGACTTGCCCTTTCAACAGGGAGGAGCAGCTCTGCACCATGTGGAAGGTGCCCTCGGTTATTAGACACCCAACACAAAGAAGCCTTGAGCATGACCAGGTCCCAATAAAGTGCGAACCACTGGTAGCAGTTTCACTTACTTAGATGCATAAATACACCTATTTTTGTGCTTAGTTTTAAAACAAACATCTGAATTATCAATTCTGTGCCTATGCATAAACATTTCCGTATAGGTTTGACTAAAAGGGCAGACATCCTAACACAAACAGAAGTTACATCGGTCATCACTGCAACGCACAGTGCAAAATAAAGGAGATAAAGCCAACTGCTAGGCAGTTATACTATATACCTTTAGAAACTGGCAGGAACTGATACTGTAAGAGAGACATTAGATGCAACAAAGAGGTCTTGCAGTGGGGAAAAAAAGTGCTAAACACTCTAGTAAGGACCAAAATGATGCCACTGCTTCAATGTATTATTTATAGAACAGGCCGTGTGTGGGCGTGCTAGTCTATCTACTGAAGACAGTCTTCAACTAGCAATTTTTAACTCAAAAATCAAGTGTTGATCAAACTACACATCACCGTTTTAAGAGTGAGAACACAAATTGTCACCTGATGTCTTACCAGTAACAACTTAGAACAAAACTTCAAACCAACTCTACAGGGTCAATGGAACTAAGCAAATTTACACTGGATCCAGGATGTGTCCCGGTGTATAATTCCTTTCTTCACTTCATTAAATCATATTTACCAGCACCTCCATTGTACTAATGGGTGCATAAAGCTATTCTGCACCTGTCGATTGCCAAGGCATCTGTGCAAACACAACGAAATGGAAAGAAGTGAAGCAAGGAGCCCTATCTTTAAAAATAAACCCAAATCGATACAAATAAAACGTAAGCACTTGGCATGTATGGCTGACTTCTTGCAAAGTACAAACGGTATCAAGGTGTGTTTTAGCCCAACATTGCCTATGCTTAAATAAATCACTTTATATATCTTACTGAGAGATATTCTTCGCATTTAACTTTCCTAATGCAAAACAGTCAGTCTTCAAGGGGCAAATGCTCAGGAGAAATTAACATGTTGAGTTTTAGAAAAGTTTGTTTTTCTTTCTAGGCCCTACAGAGCTACTTCTGTTCTCTCACTAGACTCAGTGCTGGTTTATCTTGATGGCTCTTGGGGAATCACCAGTCCTGGTAGGAAATCTTCAATTCTGCTTTGTGTTACTCCTAACTGTGCTCAGCTCAGGGATAGCACTGGCATTTCTGAGACAGCCAGCACAAAGCAACAGCACAAATCCAAGAGGTGGAACTTCCACAAAACGTTACACTTGCATGAGTAGCTGTTATTGCCAGCTGCAGCAGTCAGAATATCAATTTGCTCACTGCACGAATTTCAGAAAGCGTGATATAAAAGTGAAGGCAGCCTTATCATTACCTGCTTGTTTTCATTTTGGAAAGCTGCTTCCCCTTACCTTCTTTAAGTATCTACTAACACATTTTTTATTGCGGTTCATCTTGAAAATTAATCATCATAAATTTAAAAACATTCTCTTGCAGATCTGTCAGCTTTGTAGAGCTACTTCATTTATTACAAGACCACATGACGCATCAGAGCTCTGTATTTGAACATGACATATTTTCACTTTGTTTTGATACCACATTTGAAAATTGTTCCTATCAATCTCTCACTGGAGCCAAAACTTCACTGTCTTGTTCACTGAAACATTAAATGTCAAGTCACACAGACAAACAAAAGCATTTACAAATTTAACATCTGCATTTGCAGATGCAATTATTTGCAAAAGTTTCCTGTTGAAAGGGTCTGTGGAAGAGAACCCACAAAAGTGATGGAAGTCCAGCAGTCAGTACCAAAACCAATTATTCCTAATCATTTAGGTCATCAGATCACACCAGAAGTTAAAAGACTCCACAAACAGGCCAATCTTTAAGTAAAAATTTTAAGTGTTTACAGTTCTGTTTCAAAAAAGTATTACAACTTGGAGGCATTGCCAGACTTAGCTTAGGCATTGTTTAAGATCCACGATTTTCTGCATCGTGTGCCAGTAGGGAGGAAAAAAAATAAAGAAAAAAACAACAGGCCATATACTTACATTCCCCATAATGCATCATTTTCTCTCTAAACAGTGGCAGCAAACAGGCACATCCAATACTGTATTACTTTCTTCTCTCATTCATGACGATGTCACACACAGGTTCTTTGATTCTGAAAAAGAAGCATTTCCCAGGTTCTAAGGAGAGAGGTACCCCAACCAATCCATCATGCTTTGTGTGTTAATGATAGACTCATGCATAAGAGGCACCAGGAGCAGTGAGAGGCAGCAGGCATGAAAAGGAGTGAATCAACTGTCAAGGGTTGTGATCTGAAGGACTGCAAGGCTGTGATTAGAATTTTCAATCAGGACTTCCACAATTCATCACGCTACCGGGGAAGGAGGGGGGGACATATTTCTTCATCAGCCCTTTCTCCTATTGGCATAACAAGTTCCAAGGCATTAAAAAGGGGAAATCTTAATGCCTTCATTTCAGACACGTATGTTTGAATCTTCGGGGAGTGAAAGATTTTTCTGGGACTGCCTAACTGCCTTCTTGTGTGCATGCTGAAAACTGAAATGTGGTTATTTACTGCATAGCCCTTCAGCTGATGGAGAAGGAAATGCAGCTCTTCCTCCCTCTCCTCTCATCCTCTTTTAGACACCTGAGTGAGAAGGAGCCTGGGAAACTTCTGACTTGTCTTTAGGGATGTAAAGAGGAATAAAATCCAACAGGAATCCTTAGTCAGAAGTTAATACCACTCTGTGAAACTTCAGAAAACAAAAAAGGCAGAGCTAAGTTCAGAGAAATCAAATGCACGACCCAACTTGGCTTTCCTTGTGGCATTTGTTCACCTCGGTGCTACCCCTACTGACCCACTGAAGAAGACGATGACAACCCCACACGGTGACAGCCTACATCGGGACTCGGAGCGGGGCTGATTTCACAGCTCTGCTACGGCCTCCCTTTGAAACCACGAGGAAATCACAAACTCTTCGCATGCCTTACTGCTTCTTTCCCCACTTCTTTCACCTGTGAAATGTAAGTGACTGTCTCAGTGGAGGTGGCTGAGCACCAGGGCCTTCCAAATGCCAGCAGCTGAGCACCAGCCCCAAGTGCCACCAGGTGCCAGCAGCATCTGCCTGCACCAGCCTCACCACGGGGGCTTTGCCTCCCAAGTCGAGGTCCAACGACAGCCCTGCAGATTAGGTATTTATCAAAATATATGAATGAAGCATTATTTTAACAGGCAATTTTCATGTTAAGCTATGAATAATGAACACTAAAGACAGTTCTTATTTGCATAATTAATGTTTCGGTTATTGATATTCCTTCAGAGGGTCACTAGCCTTTTTTCTCCGAGTCAATTAATTAATAAAACAACTCTTTTTATGTAGGTAATTGCAATCACTTTAGTACTCAAAGGCATGTAAAATATCTGATTTTTTTTCCTTAAATCTTGCAATTGTAGTGACACAACAATCATTTGCATACATGTAAACACCGAGCAGGTCCATTTAACTCATGACTAGAAAGAAATCCTTTGAAACTAATGGGAAAGAAATGCACGAACTATGGGCAAACATGACAACACCGGCAACTTTCACAATAACAATCCCATTTTCCTTAATGCAAATCTCAGCTCCGAGACCCAAAATGCACTGCTGGTGGTGCCAATCTGCCTTCACGCCTAGCTGAAGATTGCTCTGAGGAGATGCGCTAATTTGGGAAAGAATAGATTTTATGGGAGAATAAATGCAAACTAGGCAACTATTAGCAAGCAGGGAGCTTTGAAGGCTCACCATTTCACAGGTAAGGCAGAACTTTTGCTTCTCCCATAAAGAAATCCCCAAACAGACCTTGCAAGCAGAAGCCTGGCTGTACAGGACCCTGTTGAAGAAGCACTGCCCCGTGGGGTGAGGCGGTTACACCCCTAGGGAGGCAGCAAGCGAAACTCAACCTGGAAAGGTCTGCTGAAGGCGCTGCTGGAAGACTGGGAAGCTACGAGGTTAGAGCAGTTAGGACAATTTCTCTGTCTAACATCACCACATTAGTTTAAATGCTAGGCAGCCTGCCTGCGAGCTGTTAGCTCAAGTCAGTTTCTACAGCTTCTCGTCTCCACTCACAATCCACTCCAAATGCTACTGCAAAACCCATTCCAGTGGCCTCCTTCATCACATATCTCCTCAAGGCAGGAGAACATCGGGATTACCCTTTTTATCACACATCATATTCTTGTACTTGTTTGAGCCTCCCCATGCACACCACCACCCTTCCCAGCCAAAGAAGCACCTTCCCGGGGCAGTTTCTGGGCTGCCCTCTGAAGGCAGTACCAGAAAGCTCTACAAAACCAATTCTTTGCTCTTAACATTTCATCTGAAAACTTCTTTTAGGATAAGATTTAATAAAAGATAAAGAACAGAAGATATCGATGTCTGAGCACACCGCTGGCCAGCTGACAACCAATGAGTCCCATCCTTCTGATATCTCCTAAATGAAATCAGTCACTACTATCAGGCGTTCTGGAATAGAGATCTGTTTGTTTGTTTGTTTTCCTTCTGCTTTATACAGTGCCTAGCACCACTGGGGAAAAACAAAGAAAAGGGGGACACCAGCCCACTTCTGTAATTCTGGGGAATGGCTTGGCCGTATGAATTATAAATGCTGCTCTTTGTTTTTTGTACTCTTCTGCATTTTATCAGCTGATAAAATTGTGCAAATATTCCAGACGTCATCAAGAATCACTTCATTTTCAGACTTCTAATCTCAAATCCGATCTCCATCTCAGAGATTATACCAAAACGTGAAATAACAAAAATTGAAAGTCATTTCACAGAAAATGGACATTGATACTGTAGGCAAAGCACATTCCACTTGCAAATCCTCTATTTTATGTAATCCTTATCCACAATCTTCCACAGGACTGGTTTGATCTCTCTTTTGGCAATCACATCTTGCAGTATTTTTAACCACTACAGACCTTTTTAGCCAGTGCTCGGCTGCACATTCAACTGGTTGCTCTAGGAAAAGGCATTCGAAACATGCAGCAGCAAGGAAGCCACAAAGCAGATTATGAATAAAACACTCAGATATACTTTTCTGGATTTTACTCACTGCCAAGGAACTAATAGAGATCTTCTTCTTCAATGTCTCACTTCTAAGGGATCGATGTACTGCAAACACAGGCACTGCAGCCTTAATACAGGTTCTAAGTGCTTCTTACAAGACAAGACTCCTCGACAGCTTTCTCCCAAGCACTGAAGAGCTAAATAGCTTTTTATTAATGGATGTGTGTCTTTTTGTCAAAATCATACTAATAAATACAAAGCACCTGCAATGGAAATATCCAGGAGAAGGTGTAAATGAGAGGCTAGATTAACAAAGCCCTGTTAAATCAAGTTAGCAATTTTATCTCCAGGGATAACAATTTGGCTTGCGGTGGTGGGCTAAATAATGCAGTTCAATGCATTACGAATAGATCTGCGTTCAGACTGAAAGGACTGTTAGCTCAGAAAAGCAGGCAGGAGGGAAAAGAAATGCTGAAGGAGCTCCACTGCCTGCTCAGAGCACACTTCTCTCTTCCTTCTTCCATAACCGTCATGACCATACATCCATCACTGTTTTACACAGGTTCTCTGAGAAAAGAAGACAAAAATGGTCTCAAAGTCTCTCTCTTTTTGAGATGAGACAGTGAAAAGCTTCTCTGCTGTCAGCACCAAACATTTCACATAAAGTAATTCTATTTTTAATTTTATTTTATTAATGTATGCACTGAAATTTGAGAAAAATGTTACTACATCTAATGAAACTATTTGAAAACCTCAGAATTTAGGTTAGAAAAGGAACATCAAACATAGGCTTGGCTACAGCAGGCTTTCTAGGGAATACCCTACTAAAGCAATCTCTTGATAGGTAGGAGATCTTTCTTCTGTACAAGCAATGATTGTTGAGCACAGATTTTCAGTGGTCTCTAGAGATTTGAAGTCTTAGAAAGACCTAATTTCATTCAAAAGTATACGCTTGCTTTCTCCAGATCAGTACAAGTTCAGATGGAATATAGAATTAAGCAAAAGTTGTCCTATAAATGCTGTCAGGTTTGCTGTGGAATATTGTTTTGACTGTAAGAAGGATTCTTTTCAGATTAAAAATTAACATTTCAAAATAAGGGGGAAAAAAAGTTGTTACCAAAGGACAAAGTTATACCTAGGGGGAAAACAGAGGAGAGAAATGTATAATTATGTCAAAATTGGCAAGAAAAACTAAGGTATCTGTTTCCAACCCAGGCATGCACATGCTTTTAAAGCATTCCTATAATATTCCACCAATGTTCTTCCTCTGATTTTTGCTCTAGAAGTCCTAATTTGTACTCCAAAATAGATCCATTTTCACAGATATCCACACCACCTGCCCTACTCAGCACAGGAATTATTTGTTAGCCAAGAAGCACTGGAGTTTAAACATTCTGCAGAATCAACGCAAATCATCTTGAACACAGCTAAAAACTTTGCAGTTGCATGTATTAACTAGAGAGATGCCAGGAATTCCTAACACCCCGCATTTTAATCCCTCGTATAACTTCTTTTGAAATGAAACCCCTGTAACTAAAAGGATTCCGAACTTCTCCTTTGTGCTGCCTTTACAAGACAGGCCAAACATCACAAGCTTCACAAGGACCGTGCATGGTGCAGACGACGAGACACACTCCAGTGTTTTTATCTTCCTCAAGAACTATTTCAGCTCGTGTGTATGACCTCCACGGCTTAACTGATGACTATTCAGTGCATTGGTTACAAAAAACAGCCACTCTCATTTCCTTTACACTCCTCCTTGAAGAAATAAATCAGTATCTCGACGGATTGAAACACTTAGCTGCCAGTCATTCCGCTTTGTCCCTTTGCTGCCTCACGCCGGCCCGCCTGAACAGGAGAGATGCAGAGCAGTGATTAAATTGTAACACGCCGCACGGAGAGCAATAACTAAGTGAGCGGTTATAAACAAATAACACAGCTCTTCACAATTCAGTAAAATGGATTATTTGATTTTGTGCATGGTTTTGAAAGGCGGTCCAAGTGGCAGTGCTTTCCTACTAATGCAATAACATTACTGCCTAATGGTGGAAAGCACAGGAGAGCAATAGATGGTCTACAAATAAGAGCAGAATGTGCAAGCTTA